CTCATGAATTATTACTGACTTGAAAATTGATATATTTATATAAGTTATTGGCCAGAATTTCTTCAAATGACTGTATTTGCATGTTTAGCATAATATTACAATGGTATATTTGTTAAAACCCACTTAATGTTCATATCTCACCCTGTAAATCCTCCTAATGATAAATCATCTACAYCACTGATAGTTGTTCTTGCTGCATCCCTGGAAACAGTAGAAGTCTTTCCACCTCTTGCTYTCTCAATCTCTTCAGCATCAACATCATCAAACCAGATTTCATCTTTAAGTCTATAACATATTGATTAATCATGAGCATGTTTTAAAATAAAGATTCGGCATTGTGTTAAATAAAAGATTATAAGAGTTAAGGGTATTTTACTAATAAGAATTAATGATGCTCACCCATCCTACACGATGGCCATAATCAGAGTAAACAAGGATATAATGAGATGCAAATGAGATGATGTGTTATTACAACAATGTTATTTCTAACAGTTCAATTTCATAGGAAAATAATTACAGGACAGGTACTTTTTGGATATATAATTATTAGTATAGGTTATGGCATGTTTTGTAGTATTTGAGATAAATATCACTCATGATATTTCAAAATTGTCAAACAAAATTTTGAAATATCACGTGATTGTTGTATTTATCCCAAATTTCACATACAGAACATGCTATTATTATTACTGTGACCAGTCCGAAGGCCTGCGGTACAGTGTTATAAAATGCAGCGACTTAATTTTTTTTGTTCCATGTCGCAGTTTAGCAATCCCAAGGGACCCATAATCCAGAGTTCCAAGGTTCGATCCTCAAGTGGAGTACTTCTAAAAACTTTTTTTTTCTTTTTTTAACTGAAAAAACAACTGTAGCAATTGTTTTTTTTAATATTTTCGAGCCGCGTTTAATATATTTTAGAAACAAGATGATGCTTGAACAGCCAGGCAGCGTCAAACAGAGGATTGTGGGTTCAAATCCCAACTTGAGCATTTTTTTTCTTCTTTCTTTTTAAATATAATATAGTTGTTATAGTCATCTCATTTTCTGTAGATTTTGTTTTTAAAACTTTTATTTTCGAGCCGTATATTATTTTGATTTTTACACAAACTATCRTACTCGAATAGCGTCGAAMTTAGGATCGTGTRTTAGATTCTTGACTCGGTCAATTCTAAGCAATTCYTTTTTCTTTTCTTCTTTTTTTTTACTGAAATACACTTATTTTTATTTTTCCTGTTTTTGTAGATATTTGTTTAACATATTTTTCAATCAAGATCATACTTGAATAGCGACATTGAACTGAWGATCTCAGGTTCAATTCTCGACTCGACCAGCTTCTAACATTATTTTTTCTTTCTTTCTTTGCAAAATTTAATCTTATAAATTCTCTGAGGATATGTGAATGCAATCTGAATGCTAAATTTTCGCTGCAATGATAAAAATATTCAAAAAATGATGTGAAAAGATTGTATGTATCTATCAGATTGATCGCGGCGCTGGTAATGTTGATGTAGCCTGGACATGGTATGTTCCACCAAGTGGATCTTATTTGTATATGTTGTAGTTCAGGTTCAATATATTTTTGAACCAGTTCAATCTAATTTGTTCCACTACAAGACTTCTTGTACTGGTCTTTTTTTTGCTTTGGCATTCTTAAAAGAACTAAATTATATCCCATCTCATTCTCTCCCATTTTCTATCTATCATCTTGAGATATTTTCTATATTTTTTAATTTATGAATAACACTTACCTTCATCAGGGTTTGAACAACTGAACTCTTGCTTCATAGTCCACAGTACTACCAATTATACCATGCAAGGATTTTGTTGGTAGTAATGTTTGCAAATTGTTTTTATCTTAATTGTAATTTATTAATGAAGAAAATTTTTATATAATGCTGGCTCAACCCTATTCCCAACCCTAAACCTAATCCTAAACCTAACTCTAAACCTAACCCTAAACTGATTTGTACTGGATTGAGTTATATTGGACTGGCTCAAAATAAACTGAACCAGTTCAGAAGAAATTGAACTGGTTCAAAATCATATTGAACCTGAACTACAACATTTATAATATGGTTGAATAAAATTGAGCAATTTGAAATACCACTGTTAAGGATAAGGATAAATACTACTTCTCTAAGCCAATCAAAATTGAACAATTCTATTCAACCATATT